GACACTCCTAAATCAGAGGTGAATTCTCATCACATTTTCATCCGAGGACTGTTTTTATTTTGGTTTATAGCGTCTAACGTAAGTTCCTGTTCTTGCTGTAAATTGGTTGACTGACGCAGATGAACGGGACTAAAGGTCAAAAGTTGAAAAAAAGAGTGTCTAATAAACTTCAGGCGGGTGATCACTACTTCGGAGGGTTCGATGTTCTTAGCAGTCCCGCTTTCAAGGAGGTACAATAAATATCAGAAAAATGTGAACATAAACTAGTCATATTTTTCGTAATGATCGTCCAGTTATTTAACTCTGCTCTACTGATATAGGAGTGGAAGGTGGACAATAATAATGACACTTAGACTGGCTGGCTCCAAAATTTCAAATTTGTCTGATAAATGATCATTTTTCGATCAACTCGATGACACCTCGCCTTTCTTCGTTTTCAACCACAACCTTAGCTACTCAAAAATCGTACTTAAACTTCATCGTAGTTCAAGTTCAAGCAGTTGTTATTCTTTCATTCTGAACTGTTCTGATATGATATTTAGTAACTGCAGATGAAACTATATGCAATCTTATTGATTGAGTGCGAATGTAATTCCATATTCGGCCTTGTAGTATTGCTTGGAAATTCTAGTAGTCTGTTCATTTTAGCAAATATCAGCTAATATCAGTAAATTTATTTGAAAAAAAAAAGGGGATAAATTGCTTTTCTGTTTCTATTTCTGATTGTCGAGAAGTATGAAGCTGAATTATGTAAACTGTAGGCAGAAAATCAGCCAAGAAACAAGACTTGTGGTAAATGCACAACAGGTGTTAAGAACCGTTTGAAGGAGGCTAGAAGTGGTCTATCCACATCTAGGAAGCTTCTGAAGATTTTAAACCAAATGTGCCTCCAAGAGCCGCATTCGTCAAGCATACCCGTCATCTTGGCCCTGGGAAGTGAACTTGATCGGGCTTACAACCAGATTGATCAACTGATTCGAGACCAGAGCTCAAATCAGAATGATATTGAGTTCCTCATGAAGCGTTTTGGCGGAAGAAAGGGCTGCTTGGAAAAGAAGGGAACGTGAAAAAGTTCGAGATGCCATAACACATGTTGCAGAGGAGCTTGAGGTGGAGAAGAAGCTAAGAAGGCAAACTGAAAGGTTAAACAAAAAGATTGCTGAAGAAATGGCTAATGTGAAAGCTTCACACTTGAAAACATCGAAGGAGCTTGAAAGGGAGAAACGGGCAAAGGAGATTCTGGAGCAGATTTGTGATGAGCTAGCTAAAGGAATCGGAGAAGACAGAGCACAGGTAGAAGAACTCAAAAGGGAGTCAGCTAAAGTTCGGAAAGAAGTGAAAAGGAGAAAGAGATGCTTCAGTTGGCTGATGTTTGGCGTGAGGAGAGAGTCCAAATGAAACTTTCAGAGGCTAAATATCAATTTGAGGAGAAAAATGCTGTCCTTGAAAGGCTGAGAAACGAGCTTGAGGCCTTTTTGAGAACTAAGGATGATGAAGGGAAAGATGATGTTTCTCCAGGTTCAAAAACATAAAGGATCTCGAATCTTATTGGAACAAAACATATTGGGGATATCAAACTGCTCGGAAAGAGGACGATTTGGATGTTGGAGATGGAGTGGATCACGAAGGAGATGACTCTGCTGACAGTGATCTTCATTCCATTGAATTAAACATGGACAATGACAACAAGCTGCAAGTGGAGTTGTACTTATGAAAATGACGCTCAAGACGATTCTGGAGGAATTTCAGTGGACAAAGAAGAAAGTATAGGAAGGAAATCTTTCTCCGAGAAAATTCAGTGGACAAGCATTTGTTTCAACAAGGGAAATACCGGTAGTAAGAAGAGGGATTTTGGTATAGAAATCAAGGAAATTTCTGATGAACTTGATCAGGAAATATCCAGCGGGTTGTCTCCACGAGGTCATGCGCGAGATGACATAAAATTGAGAGTTACAGGTCTATGATGGGTCTCCGAGATGGAATATCATGTGCTAATCCTGCTCAGAGATGTGGTCAACCATTGTTTTTGCAGGATACAGTTGGCGAATCTGAGGATAATTCTGTCGTCATAGAGAGAGAAGATTTGATGCGAGAAGCTGCGGGTAGAAAATCCGGACGGTAAGAGATGATGATAATCAGCACAATACCTAGGTTTCACCAATGTTGTTCCATATTATTAATTCTTGGTTTGCTGAATATGTTCAAGGGTCATCATCGCTGGCATCATAGTTTGCATCCATCCAAGTTATATATAGCGAAAAACTGTATATATTAATTAAATTAAGTACAATAGCACACAACAGTTTTGCTTCTGGTCATCTGTTTCTCGTTTGAAGAGGAAGGAGAAGAGAAATAGCATTTCTATTTGAACTTGTTAATTCAGAGTAGCGAGACTAATGATGGCATGAAAATGAAAGGATTCTTTTTTTTTTTTTTTGGTGGGGGAGTGGAGAAGAAAATAATGGAGAGCTGTTGGGTGCCAGGGCTGCAAAATAAGAGAAACGAGATTCCGGCTGGGGTATGACAACACATAAAATGGGTTGGGGGGGGGGGTGTGGCTGAGATTTAAACAAGAGTGAGTAGGGTCTGGCGCAGACAGGGTGACAGAGATGAGCATTATTGGATGCTTCCAAGGATTCAAACGTTTGAACACCGTCCTCTGTATTCCATTGCCATTGCCGTTCTTTTTGTTTGGATGTCAACACTGACAGCACATTCTCGTGATGTAGGACTGTATAATTCACATCTTTACCCCAATAATAATGTTTTTCCCCCTCCTGCGCTTGTATGTACTTGTGTATCCATGTTTTTCTGTCGTGAATTTGGTCCCAACGTTTGAGTGAGTTTACATTCTAAACGTAATTCGAGTTGATGAGGTGCATCCACTTTGCTGATCATAGGGACTTGGATAATTCTCGGAATAATTTTGATGATAGAAATTTTCACAAGGTACTTGTTTTATCTTAAAAAGTCTGGTCATCAGTAAAGAAAAGAGAGAATCGTTAGTCGTTAGCATTTTCTTCTCTCCTGGCTTCTGGTAATCGCTCGGGCTGATTCTCAGTTCCCATTTCCGACCTCTCCGTTCCCGTCAACGGAGCACCCAAAACGCCAAAAATGGTGCCTTTTTTCATCCAGTCATTTCTTTATATCGTACAAATTTATACGGGGCTCTATATATTATATTCCAAAAAAAAAAAAAACCCATTTTATGCAGCAAAATTTTGAGCGGTTACGCCTCGCTCCCCCACTCCTCCTCCGACTCCTTCATGCTCATAGCAAATTTTGCACTAAACGTGCACGATGCATCGTATATATTGTCAAGGAATAGTATTGTTTATTTACTAAATATATTGATCAATCATACAAAAGTACGTACAATAAAAACACGTTTTGAGTCCAATATTACAACACCCATCCGACATTATTACAAGGGTGAAAATCCCCAAATTTAGACGTTCAAAAAAATGCCGATCATGGTTTGGGAGAGTCCTCGATTTTTGAGGATGCTGATGTGAAAATAACTGGGTTTGTCGGATGGTCCCTCACCGTCAAGCTCAGCACTTCAGGCCTTGAGTAGTGTCCAACCACATCAAAATCAAACTTTGCCCTCGCTATTTCCCCCAAATCTGTGTTCACCACTATCAACGATTTTAGCTTGCTTTCCACACACAACAGAAATAAAATATTCTGAGAGTTCAACCACAGTATATTTCACAATGCAGAGCACCCGACTTCATTATACATAGACACACTATAGCCTCTTGGTTTTATTTCGTGCCTGGCCCAAGAAACAGAGAGAGAAGAAAAACTAAGTGGACTTTGATGCATTATGTGTTATGTTTGGCAAAAGAAAAGAGAGTCATTGGATGGTTATCGTATCTTTCATTGTTTCTTGCAAGGCATGACACATCCCCCTAAAACATGGTTGCTGCGAAACATTGTAATGCAGTTGAAGTTGAAGCAGCAATTATGAATAGTAAACAAAACAAGCATAACATACCAAGATCTGCCGAGATCAGAGCCTCCCCCTCGTAATTTGGTCCAGCCAGAACAGCCCCTGAAGGTGATATGATGACACTGCCCCCAGCGCACACAACAGAATCTGGTGTCAGGTCCTCTTCTGTGCCTGAGAAAACATACTCGGGAGGGGGCGGGTAATCTCTCCTTCTACAGAACTGGTTTGCCGACAGAACAAAGCATCCACCTTCTAGGGCAATGTGGGTCATAGATGCTTGCCACACATCCCTAGCGTCAGCTGTAGGTGCGCAATATATCTCAACACCTAAGAAACCAAGTTCCACATGTTTAGCCAAACCGAACAAAACTGTCTCCACTCTCCCATGCTAATCAAGTAGCCTAAAACAAGTCATGTAAGTTATAATGGCTCGGTCATATTTACTGTTGGTCGTGCATCATAGTGTTTGGTATCCTGATATTTCCTATTCCAGGTTATCTTCTCGGACACAATAGAATTTAACAGAAAAATGTCTACCTTTTGCATACATTGCTGTCCTCAAAAGAGGCATTTTGTTCTCCCAGCAAATGGCAGCACCTATTTTTCCAATGGGAGTTTCAAAAACTGGGATGGTTGATCCATCCCCAAATCCCCAGATAATCCGTTCCAGCGCAGTCGGCATAACTTTCCTGTGCTTTCCGAGGTAACGACCTTGAGAATCAAAGAAGAGAACAGTGCAATACAGTGTGTAGCCATCTCTCTCTATAACACCTATTACCAAATACACCTTATACTTCCCGGCCATTGCCGCCAATCTATCAACTTCAGGACCTACAGCAACATCATACAAGCTAGTAAAAAGTTATGCCTAGAGTTCCATTGATCCCAATTCAATGTATAAAACTATACCCAGACTAAAGAAAGTAACGATAATAAATTGATTCTATTCGCTGTTTCTAGTTGGAGACTAAATAACTAACCAAGAAATATCCTTAATAATCTTATCCATATTAATTATCAACCAAACTTCAACATTACCTTGATTAGCAGTGAATATATAAAATACTACTAAAGCTCCAGAAAACATATACCCTGACACTGTGAGTCACAGTCAGATCTATCTTTTACGAGCTTCACAGAATTTGTACCAGCAAATACTATCAGCCAGTCATAAGTCTTTACCTGGCACATCAATGGCTGCAGCATGATACTTGCGGAACTCCTCTTTACCCTTAGCTGTCCGATTTCCAATAGAAACACCGAAGTTGGAACCACGGGGATAGCCACCCACAAACGCTTCTGGAAACACAACCAGCTGGGATCCGTGGCTCGCGGCTTCAGCCAACAACCTCTCGGCCTTATCTGCTTAAGCGTCGAGCAATCATGAGCGATTAAAAAATAAAATACCATTCCCCCGCAATATAACATCGGCATTTCAACAAACAGCAGTATAGTTCAAGGAGGAAGCAATAACTCCAGACATGTACAGATCACACAACACATTCAATTCACTTGAAACAATTCCAAGCACCCAAAGGATCATTTTTACTGAAAACAGACAAAAAAAATCGATTTATCAGTAAAAGAAAGAAAAGAGTACAGGGATTTCTCGGAGTCAAACAATTTGAAACCATGAGAATCCGGGTCAATCAGTGACACAACTCATTTGAAGAACAAGGAGAATGAGGAGGAAGCAGGACCTAAAGTGGCGGGGGTATCGTAGAAGATGGTGGAGGCCTGAACCACCGTGGCTCGGACAGTAGTGGCGTTGTTATCGGAGCCCATATCAACCTCGGCGAACAAAGGCCCATCGTTGACAGTTTGACTAGTTACAAGCGCCATGCCTTGCCGGGTTTCTTCTCCGTTGTCTCTGGCTTTATCGGAATGGTTCAGCCCAGTGGGCACAATTGATTGCATAATACTAATTGAACCTAGACATCTTTACTCCATTTTAGTCATTAAAGAAATACATCTTTCACTCTCCAGGAGGCTGAAACAGCGTCTTTACTCTATTTGGATTGCACACGAGAGGGTTCTAGATTTTTTCCATAACTTTTCCAACGTCAGTTCTCTCTCTCTCTCTCCTACTCAGCTAATCAGCTTCACATGCCTTGGATGAAGTCTGTGGATTGGCCCCGAAAATCAGTGGGCGAACATTTTTCACGTTTATGGAGAAAAAGAAAACAAAATACGTAATTCATCATAGGAAAAATTATGACAAAAAGGCCCCAACGGACGAGGAGGATGAAGCACCAGCAAAAAAGTCCAGTGCCTACCCTTTATGATTTTCCCTCTAAGAACAATAAAAATAATGAAAACAAATTAGCGACGAAATCAAAAGATGAAGGTTTTTTTTTTTCGGACTCAAAAATCAAAAGATGAAGTTTGAACCACGTTCGAATGCACTGGAAACAAGATGAAGAAAAAGAAGACAAAAAAAAAATCCCAACAGATTGCGTCATTTTCTTCTTTCAAATGACAATCAAATTTACAAAAAATTCGGAGAAAACAACTTGGAAAATTTATTTTATTATTATAATAATAACTTTTTTACAAGGCAAAAACTTTTATTTTCTTTTATTTATAATTATAATCATATTAATATTTTATTCTTTATACATGTAGTATTATGTTTGCATATAATATTATTTTGATTTAATTATTATATCTCTAATTCCATCCACCATTTAATTATTTGAACACTAATGATAAGTTGAATCATTAAACACTGAGAAAATAATAGGATTGAGAAAGCAAGCTTTAACTTTTGGGCATATGTTCCCCCGAATAACATCTCGTTATATATAAATATAAATTTTTACAAGTTGGTAAATAATATGACTGACTGTTCAATTCATTCCACCCAGTTAACTGAATACATCAACATAATGTTCAAAGTTCAAAGCTACGCATATTTCAGAAATAATGGATGCTGCATGCTTTATGAGTTTTGCAAATTAAAGGAGGTTGAAATGAAACTCCATTTCTTTCCTTTAAATTATGGAAGGAAACGGACCCTTTTTTAATAGAAAACTTATGTCATAAATTCAAAACAGCCATTACAAACAACAGAGTAACTAACTATCCCTCATCAACATTCGCATCTTCGTTGAGGTGGAGGAGACGGATCCTCACAAAAGGCTTTTGAAGTTTTGATATCGACATAGCGTAATATCGAGGATACTTGATGCGATGAAATAATCGCAGCTATTATTTCATTGGCAGAAAATAATTTGCCATTATATGTTTACCAGAAAAAAACAGAGAAAGAGTGTTTTGCCCTGCTTTAAAAATTTCACTGGCAAGTGGTGTGTGTGTGTGTGTGTTAGGCAACTCTTCGCTGTCAAATAGATGTCCAAAAGCCATTTGTTCGAGTCCAGTTAAGAAAACACAACGCTGATAGCCCTATATATATGTAAGAGAGGGTGGATTTCTCAATCGACTATATGAAATGACACAAAAGAATTAAATATATTGATGCCGGAATAATAGACGGGTAGGAATCCAGCATAGGGAACTCGAAGAAGAGCGCTTTTGAGCAAGTGATCGACGATAACTTGGTGGGTTTCTTTCTGGGGAGGAAGTACGCGGCGAGGGTGATGATCCCCAGAGGGAAGTACACTGACACTGTGACTCGGCACTATCTTTCGCGAGCTTCACAGGAATATATGAAAAAGACGAGGCTTAAGGTCTTGCTATGGCATGGTGGTTTCGTAGATGTACTTCGAGAACGCCCACGTTAAGAGGGGAAAAAAGGGCAGGAAAGACATAGGGCGTTTGGATAAAACCGTGGTTTCAGAAGCATTTTCCGCAAAACGAGATAATCTCCTCCACATATTTACTTCGTAATCCGTAAAAGCACTTCTGAAACCATGGTTTCTATCAAACACCCATAGTCGTGTTCACTCTTCTCAAACCAATTATCAGTACACAAATCATGACATCTTATTTTTCAATAACTTGAAAGAAATTTTCCATATATTATTCAATTTATTTTTCGCAGCATTCTTTTATTATTATCACAATGACTTTTTTAACAAGACCGGAAGAAACTTTTCTTTTCTTTTATCTTTTGTCAGCATAATTATAATTTTTTATATGCTCCTATACAAGCATTATTATAATTATAGTCCTACTAATATCTTTTTTTTTCCGAGTGAAAAGGGAATTTTATTAACTCAAGAAATTACAAAAGGCTAAGTACATAAAAGGAGGGACAAGTTTCTAGCATTCAGAGTATGATCACTTAAGGATAAAACTACGACTGATGAGCTTGGGTGGGTTCACCAAGTTGAAAGTTCCAAACGCGATACCTGACCCAAGTTGGGTTGGATTTTCTGGTACGTGGATTTTCTTGCTGCCAGTCATTGAAGGGATAGCAGCTTTTAAAAAACTACGAAAATAATAGGAATGAGAAAGCAAGAGTTTTAACTTTTGGTATATATGTTTTCCTCAAAATAACATTTTATTTTATATCGATATATATTTATTATGAATGTAAAACTATGAATTTTACCATATATAGCATATAGCGTATGCTATTCATAAATAAGTAAATAACACGACTGACTGTTCCGTTCATTCCTCCCAGTCAATTAAATACACCAATGTTCAAACCTACACGCATTTCAGAATGGTTGTGGCATATTTTATGAAAGTGGAAATGAAACTCCATTTCTTTTAATTTCTTTCAATTATTGAAGGAGATGGATCCTGATAAAAAGCTATTGAAGTTGTGAGATCGAGATTGTCTTAACTAAGCGTAATATTGAGGACACTTGATGCAGTGAAATTAAAGCTATTATTTCATTGACAGAAAATGTTTTGGCCATTTTCACCAAATTAAAAGAGAAAGAAAGTTAGGCCTGCCCTGCTTAAAAATATCACTGCCAAGTGGTATATATTGGGCAGCCTTTCATTGTCAAATTTATGTCCAACAGCCATCTATTTGAGTCCAATTAAGAAAACACAACATTGAATTTCAATGGAACCAGTTTTCTGATAAGCACTGAAAACTCATCGTATCTAAATCATTTATATCTAATTTAGATGGTCCAAATTTAATTTTTTTTATTTTTACTTTTTTAAAATAATTATTTTAATGGGTATATAATCTAAAATAAAGATAATCTCTTAACTATTATTTTTTAAAAATAATTTTCACTTAAAACCAAAAATAAAAATAAAAAAGAATTAAATCTAAACTATCCAAATAAGATCTAAATGGCCCAGATATGATGAGCTTTCAATGCTCATCACTCTAATGAGTTTCCAAACTCGCTAGAGATTGTGCATTTCTTAATCAAAGAAATGATGTGTGAGAAGTAAATATATTGATTCCATCATATGGATTTTCATAATAATATCAACCACATGATAAACAAAATCAATTTCGGTGCTCATCATTGTGATAAGTACCATAATGCTCATCGCGCTAGTAAAATTTACACGACTCAAACTTAATTTTAAAGATCTAGATTTAAAACTCTCAACTAATATTTTTTAAATAAAAAAATTGTTTTTAAAAAATTTATAATTAAAATATTATATTTATTTTGGATTATTTACCTATTAAAGAAAATTATTTTTTTAAAAAATATAAACAATTAAATCTCAACCATTAATATCAAAACTTTATGTTTGAAATTTGATCTGCTCATTTCTAGGATGAGCATGAGCGTGGAAACTGGTTGCATGATAAACATCATTTGACCAAACCCAGTGGGGGCATGGAATTAATGTCTTCTTAGCTTCTCTGGCCGTATCCTTTCCTTCCCATCTAACCAAGAGGTATTAGGTAGCGACTAATAAATATATTATCCAGTCCTGGCTCCACTTTCGCAACCTTCATGGCAATAACGCAATGCAATATTATAAGGACAACTATGGCCTCCCTCCTCACCGAAATCAGTAAATAGCAAGTTTGGCAGACAAAGCTCTGCAACACTTTGTCGGGCTGGCTCATGGCTACTCTACTCTCAGCTGCTGCCAGAAGGTAATAACATACTCCGGCTTCCTCTCCCACACTGAGATACCTTTTCTTCATTCTCGATTAACGATTCACACACAGACACAGTCAGAAAAGTATTAACTCGTACTTATTTAATAAGCAGGTTAGAAGGGAAGGTGGCGCTGATCACGGGTGGCGCCAGGGGGATTGGCGAGTACACTGCCAGACTCTTCTCCAAGCACGGAGCTAAACTGGTGATCGCCGATGTCCAGGATGATTTGGGTCTCTCTGTTTGCAAAGACCTATCTGATTCCTCCTCCTACGTCCACTGCGACGTCACCAAGGAAAAAGACGTCGAGAACGCCGTCAACACGGCGGTTTCCAAGTACGGGAAGCTAGACATCATGTTCAACAACGCCGGAATAATAGACGGGCCGGCATCCAGCATAGCGGACTCCGAGAAGAGCGTTTTCGAGAAAGTGATCGGCGTTAACTTAGTGGGTTCTTTTCTGGGAACCAAGTACGCGGCGAGGGTGATGATCCCCAGAGGGAAGGGCTCCATAATTTCGACGGCGAGCGTGAGCGGAATCATGGGGGGTGTCGGCACATGCGCGTACATTTGTTCGAAGCATGGGGTGATCGGGCTGATGAAGAACGCAGCGGTGGATCTTGGGAGATATGGGATTCGAGTGAACTGCGTGTCGCCGTATGCGGTTCCGACGCCGATGACTAGGACTTTTCTGAAGATGGACGATGAGGGAATTGCAGAGCTCTATTCTAATCTGAAAGGGACTGCTCTTGCGGCCCAAGATATTGCAGAAGCAGTTCTTTATCTGGGCAGTGAGGAGTCCAAGTATGTGAGTGGTCATAATCTTGTGGTGGATGGTGGCTACAGTGTGCTCAACGCTGGCTTGAGCAATTATTGATCAATCTCTCCAGATTCTACAATTTTCATTTACTTGGGATGCTTCCTCCATCTGAATCATCATACTGCGACACCATCCGTCTCGCCAGTTCATGTCAGTGAATTAATCTCTTATCACTCCTCGACAGTTTGGGAGAAAATTGATCTAGATTGAATTTTATGTTTTTTTTTTGTCGTTATCTTAAAATAAGAAGTTATATAAAAAATAGATTTGTGTTTAATAACTTCATATCATTCGATTATGTGCAGTTTATATACTTTAATATTCCTTTCTCTTTTTTTTTTTGGTAACACGGTCAACTAAACTCAATACTTGAACGAGATCATAGTAGCAGTGTTAGATATAAGGCCATAAAAAGAAGTGACATGTTGACTTGGACTTAATCATGATTGGATTATTAATCCTTAAATTTGCCCCGACAGATTTAATACTTACTGGTTTTCAATGCCTTGATTGGAATCACCTGTCTCTTGACCATCATTTGTTTTGCTTAAATTACATAAACCTCCATTCTATTTTTAAAATTTATATAAACCTCTATTAAAATTAAAATATATATTACATAAATCTCTCTTATATGGTTGAGATTTTACTTACATTCATCCAACAATTAGTTGACCTCTAGGTTTGACTTTCAAACTTTTATTTTGATCAAAACATCCCTCCTCAATATAAACTTTATTTAAACATTTATGTCTATCAAAAAAAATTATTTTTGACACAACAAAAATTAATTATAATACATGTAGTTTCAAACTTTTTAATATGTTATAAAATTTATTAATTTTTATCATATTATAGCATCTATAATTTTAGTTCTTCATGACGTATTAAAAGCTTATTTATTTAGGTTTCTTTTAAATGGGTAGAAAATATTTTAGATGCGTGTTTTTTTTATCAGATAATATAAATCATGTGGGTTTGGAACATCATATGAATTATTTAAATTTATAATTTAAAATTTTTTAAATAAAACTTTTTTTTAAAACATTTATGAGTTATTTGATCGATTATCTGTTTATTTAAAGAATTAATCAATTTTTCATTCAATTTTTTATGTTTACATTAACTAAATTACTCTTTTTTTTCAATATGATAAAAACATTAAACAAATAACTATTTATAAGAAATAAAAATTAAAGTAAAGAAAAAAATCTTAAATTCTTTAAAATAGTATTATGAAGGGTAAATTAGTAAAGAAAAAGTATTTCACCATAAATTCTAATTAAGAAAATATTTTTAATGAATTTAATAGTCTAAACTTGTACGTATGTTTTCAAAATAAAAGGAGATTCGTGTAATCAGGGTAAAATGTAAGTAAGGCTAGAGTATTTTACTCTTCTAATTTTTATTCGATTCTCAATATAATTTTGTTGTTTTACTTTTCCAAGTTATTTTGTATCCAGGAGATAGAACATAAACTAAAAAAATATCTGGATGGAATCAAAATTATTGTTTTAAAAATATTTTTATGGCATACGAAATAAATAAGTGGAGAAATTTATTTCGATTTACAGAAAAATGTTTTTAAAAAATGCTTTTCATGGTTACCAGACATCCCCTAAAAAACATATGCAATGATGTAATGATGTGGAAAGACACTGCTCATGGCAACTTCACGGTGAAGAGTGCTTATCTTATGGTTGAGCATTTGCCTCCCAACTTCTACAGTCCTGTTTTTAAGCAGATATGGAAATGGAGGGGAGCTGAAAGGATAAAAGTCTTCTTGTGGACTGCGTACCATAATAGACTCCCCACAAACTCCTGGAGGAGTAATTGGTCTCATACCTCACCTCTTTGCTCACATTGTGGATTGGAGGTCGAAGATGGAATTCATATATTACGTGACTGTGGTTACGCCAAACAAATATGGATTCAACTTGTTAATCCAAGGTATTTCTCCCAATTCTTCTCTGCTTCACTTCGAGACTGGATGGCGTTAAATCTATCAAGACAGCTAGCGGTGAACATGAGTATTGATTGGAGTTTGCTATGGGGTGTTGCTGTTTGGTTATTATGGAATTGGAGAAACAAGTCTTGCTTTGACCCTAATTTCATAAAGCCAATTAATCCCGCTGCCGCTGTTAACTGTATATGGAAGTCCTATACTGTCTCTGAGGACAAACTGGTAACTCTGAATCAATCTGATTTGAATCAACCCACCCGATGGCAACTCCCACCTAATGATTGGGTGAAAGTTAACGTAGACGGGGCTGTGTCTCACTCTAGAAATGTGGCAGGATGCGGAGGTGTAATTAGAGACTATAGAGGCCAATGGATTGTGGGATTTCACCAAACAATCGGAAGCTGTAGCGTGTTTGAAGCAGAGGAGTGGGCTATGTTTAAAGGCATCAAGTTAGCTTGGGACTCTGGCTTCAAGAAGGTTCTGTTAGAATCTGACTGCAAAACCTTAATTGATATGTTATCGAGTCCTGATGTCCATAACACGTGCAGTCTGATATTCTTGGAGATTCGTCGCTTGATGGGTCTAAATTGGGAGATTGTCCTCAACCATATTCCTAGGCTCCATAACCAGCTTGCTGATGCGCTTGCTAAGGAAGGTCTTTCTACTTCCTTTATTTTGACCAGCTGCCCGACTCATCTACGGGCGTTGTGCGATAAAGACGTGTTGGGATCTATTCCCCTTGTAGTTTAGTTTTTTTTTTCTTTGGCCTTTGTGCCTCGTTTGTATAAAAAAAGAGAAATTTAAAGTTGACAAAGAAAGTGTTTGGATTAGTATCTTAGGAATGATTTCATGAAATGTGTAGGCGTTTTTTCAAGTGCTACACTGCAAACATCTTTCCATATTAGGAATTTTGGTGACCAGGTGTCCGGTTACACTGTAAAAATTAAGAAGTAAACCTCCCATCTCTTAATTAATAAAAACAATTGTTTCTACAACTGATCCTGATGTAAATTTTATACTTTCTCTCAATTATTGTATTTGCTACCTATATTTTTTTCTCTTAGTTGAATAATTTAACTTCACTCTATTAGTACCATTAACCATGCTAAAAGAGCTAAATTTAAAAAAAAAAACCAAAAAATAAAAATTATAAAAATTGTTTTAGTTTTGAAGTGATCTTTGAATAAAAAATCTGTTGCACTGAATATGTTTAAACGTTTTTTCATCTATTTTTTTTTTTTTGGGTTCTAGCTGACCTACCGCTTGTGAGATTTCCCATCTGGAAAAGCCAAACAGGCACTTCTTGTGAGGCGCTTGTTGCGGACTTCTGGTGTTGTGAATGCCTCGGGCGGCAAGGGACAGGTGACGTGGCAATGTTCCCAGAGTTTTCATTTCATCCCACGGGAACATCCATGGTCCCAACCGCATGCGATTCATCATTTGCCGCGTCATCTTACCGCCGTAAGCAGTTGCCAATTCCTCCCACAGTCAAAAAGACAAAGTAAATAATATTCGAAGGTTGTATACGGTGCTGGCCGGGGCTTACAAAATCATTAGAAACGGAATACAACCCTAAATTATTTTTGACTTCGATAGTTCCGATAGGAGCCGCGACCAGCAAATTCAAGTCTTTTTACTCTCTGATTCCAGAAACACTGACACTTCTTGGCAGATCTCGAATCGGTTCGCTGTCACCTTGGGGGAGCTCGAGTTTGCTTCGATAATGAATATAGGGCTCTGTCGGCTATATCGATCGGTAAGTATTTCTCATGTATATGATTTCTTTCCTTTCATGCAGAAATTGATACGGGGCAGTTCTTCGTTGATCACCATTTTTACCGTTTTCTGGGACTCCCCGTAAAATGGAGACTATCCTGGTTGGCCGATATTTTCACTATCCAGCATAGCAGATATCCTAATTTGAAAATTTTTTGAATGTGCCTCACCGGATTTAACTGGTTGACTTTTGTTTTTCGAAATTCGGAAATCGAAATTGCAAATATTACTGGACGCGATGGGTATGCCCCCTCCCCGACCCCCAAAAGAAAGAAAAATTGTTGGTGAGGGGCTTTTGCCGTGAGTGTTAGAACTTGCTGTTATCACTGGTACGACAACCTTCTCTCCTTAAGGGAGCTTCGGATTTTTTCCCCTTTCTTTCTGGCGTGATTTGAATAGTGCTGCATTTTAGTTTTCCTATTCTTGTTAGGTCACATTCCTACAAATGCTCATATTCTTTAGGGTTTTTTCTTTCTGGTTGTTGAGCAAAGTGACGGGTTTTAGATGGTGCATTTGTTCCCTTTTCAGCAGTTTTAATTGCTGATATTAAATTGTTGTTATCCGCAGGTTTTCTGTCTGTAATTGGTAATGATGTCGAGGCCCATGTTGCTTGTTTTCTTGCTGCTTATACTTATAATCACTTCTCAGTTTGAGTGGAAACAGCAGCTTGTGGCCGATGTTGATTCAAATCCCAGTGTATCTCAAAAGCAGAACCAGATTTCGAAAAGAGAAGAAACAGTTAAGGAGAAGGTATTATAGCTCTACCTCTTCCTTCATGTATCAATCCAAAACTCTCTTTTGATGAGATCCACCCCCCTGCATTGAATTATTACTATCAATTTTGCATTATATCTTTCCAAAAGATCATATAGGGTCATGCTTACAAGCTGCTTTTCCACCTGAATGATGCTTAATATTTCATGTTTGTTATGTATAATAAAGATCTGAAACTACAATAGAGATTATTTATAATTTTTTTAATCACCTAATCACAGTCTGCACCTTTGTCTTTCTGCATTTCGTTGTATGTTAGTGTTTGTGTTTATGCTGTCCTTAGATGTATTCTTTTCATTATTCGGCACATGAACTCTGGAACGTTGTCAGTTTGTAATTGTATTGCCTCCTATTGACAGTGCAGGATCATGCTCTTTTTGCATTTCTTTGTTGTCCAATTTTTCTTTAGTGGGAGTGGTGGATAGGTGGTTGGTTTAACCTTCAGCCTTTCTTTTGAAAACAAAATGTGGAAGGAACTGTAAGATAATCAAAATTGCATTGACTTTGGATACTGTGCTTGGATTAATAATCTGTTAATTTTCATACCTCTTATTTTATTTCCTTTCATATTTGTTTCTCGACCCAAGGGCTGGCCATGTTTCCTGATTCTTTACTATTTCTTTTGATCTGTCTTAAAACCTGGCTCTTGGAGTAGTTCCTGCATGCGAAAGATTGTAAATTTTCTACTCCCAATACTATGAGTTCAACAGTCTTGGTTATCCTGTATATTACCGAATTTAGGCAGTAATACAGGTCTTGTTTTGAGTTGGATTGCTTCCAGTTGCATATGTAAAGAGGCACACCTGTTTATGACTTGCTAGCCACTGCTTTAGCCATTTGCTTTACATGATAATCTGTAGTTTTCCGATATGAAATTGAAAGGATGAAGTTTCTTGGAAACCATCAGGAGGTTTTGTCCTTTTTATCCCTTTTCCTTTTCTTTTTGCTGATGCGAGATGAAAATTCAACATAGTTGGGGGTTAAGAATTTGTCAGAGAAGAAAATAAAAAATCTTAGAAATGAGTAAGCCTAACCTTATAAAGCTACCAGTTAGCTTATAACTTGTCACCAGCTGAGATTGTAGTAAGCTTGAAGTTAAACCAGTTTACCCGTCGCACTGCTTTGAAATCGGTAATATGGAACTTAATGATATAAAATAGGAAATAGTACACTGAATTATTGAACTACAATAAAATATACAATCAAATAACATTAGTCAAACCAGTTAGTGAAGAAATGGTCTAGCCCTTTTATTTTGATTTTGTAAACAAGGGATCCATGACTTGGGATCCTAATTCTAATGATTATATATGCAAATGGTCCAATTGGAGGAAGAATTTCCTGGTGCATTTGGTTTAGCGCATTGTTTCAGAAAATATCATTCTTTTGTCATTGGTGACAGCTCATGCCTTGTATGCTATTCAAATGCTATCAGACTGCTGAAAGTAGTGCGTCCATTGACCCCAGAACAGGTTCTACCTAGATGGTGGACACATTTAATTAGGTTTGAATGTAGCTCATTGTCCCGTTTGTTGAGGTTGTCTACATACAGGGAAATTAAATTAAATGTAGTAATGTTGGTGATGAAATCACATTAATTGTTGGAAAATATTACCTCTGGTCCTTAATATAAGATCTTGTTTGATTTTCAATTTGGTCTCAAATATAAGATTCTAATCCACTCTCATATTTATTCTTTTTTTCCGAGGTAGTCTTTATAGTAGTTTTATATATTAAATATTTCATTAAATGACACTTAATTAGCAAGGGTATTATAGGGAAGATAACACTTGTCTATTATAAACGACTAACTTAACTAATTTTCTTATTCTATTTAAATTAGTCAACTAGTTCTTATATTAAGGACCAGAAGCAGTATTAGAAACTGTTAATACGCAATGTTTATTTGCCATTGAAGTCTGGAACCATATGTAAGCTCCGCAATGAAAAGTGATGTCCTTCACAATTTCCACTCATCTAACTTCAAATACCTGATAGCTAAAATCGAAAATTTGCAACCAAGCAAATTTAGCTGCTGGTTCTCAGGATTGGCCGCAGGGCCACATCATTCTTGATCCGATAATCAATGCATGTTTCCTGCTGCAGATTATATTAGTGCAAGAGAAGAACATCCGTAGACTCAATGAGCTTGTAAAGCATCTCCAGGAACAACTGCAACAGTGTAGAAGCAATAACCGAACAACTAATGGTACCGTGACTCCTCTGACCGAGCGCATTCTTGAGCTTGAACGACAGCAAACTCTTGAGGATTAGGCTGAGACAACAAGCATGTCTGATACGCTCGTCCCTACGTTAAGTTGTAATTTGTAAAGTTTCTCTTCTTCTTTTTTTTTGGCAAAACTGTTTGTCTATTCGTTTGAAAGAAAAAGGCTGTAATAGATTTGCTTCCTCATCGGAACAACGATAGCGATATCATTTAAATGTGAGTCCCACGTTATTCAAATGTAAACTGAAAGGAGCGGTATCTCCTTCTAATCCATGTTTGATAAGGCAACATAATATAGAACGACCATTTGGGTCGAACATTCGGAATTAAATTTGAGGTTTAAAAAGCTACTTTTTTTTGGGCGAAAGAAACTGTTTCGGCAAAGAAACTAATTACGCGGAGGATAAAAAACAGGGAAGCTGAAGTTCATCCTTGAAATATTATGAGGGTCTCGTGATTTGGCGAGATTTTTTTCTCTTGAAAAAAAGTGTGTATCTCAATGCTCGGTGCAAGCGCTTATCTTATAAGCTTTTTACTATTCATTTATGTCTGATTTTTTCAGGGAAGCATTGTAAGATCGAAGTCTTAAATGCCGTCCCCTGGTTGAGTTTCCATCTCAATGTTTCGTTGACATTTTTTATTACTGATTAATAGATTAATAGATGAGGGGGCCCAGCGGACGGGGGAGGATGCATTTAGTCTTTTATATTATTAACACCTTTCTTTTTCTTTTCTGCCAATTATATTATTAAGACCTTCAATACAAGTGATTCTGAAAAGAAATTAAAATTTTAATTAAAAAGCAAATAAATTTACCATTCATTCTGTTTATATTTTCCTATGTATCTTTTTGTCAGTACACTTGTATGTATCTTTTTCCTCAATGGACATACGTATTCTTTGCCGGTTAATTCATAGTAAGAAATTCACAAAAGGTTCAAGTCAACGAGGGAAGCCTAAACTGTATTACGCACGTAATGGCAATAAATTATGCTACCGAACAGATTGTCTTCATGAATTACAAAAGCATCGCTAGCGAAAAAAACAGAGACTATGAATAGTGTGTTATACTACCTCTAATTTTAAATATAAGAGCTAGTTGGCAATCCTAAATATAAAACTCCAGTTCATTTTGTCTCTCAAATTATAATGTGTTCTCAAAAATATCTCTATTGATTGTAAGGTACTTCTGCCCAAATATAGTTTCAAAATACATGATTGAATAAAGTTAACTTAAAGAAGTCAACACATATTTGTTACAAATAACTAATTCAATTAATTTTTTTAATATTTTTAAATTAGTTATTTAGTTCTTATATTAAGAAAAGAAGGTAGTATTACTTAAGAATTAAGACTTATGAGTTATTCTTTTGACCTTGAAGATTTATGATTTATGAATGAGTAAATTACTGACTTGCTATAGGCTGAGCAAAAATTTGCAAAGGCTGTCTTATTTTGCGTGAATAACGAATTTGGATAAACAACATTCAATTATGATGGTTATCAATTGGATAGATATTCTCTAACAATAATAAGTTGTAACGTTTCAATTTTAGATAATAAATTTTAGAAACAAGTTAATAAATAAAATTTAAATTTCAAAATCCAAGCCATATGTGCGAATGGCTTTTCCTTTTGCCACCGAAAAAAAAAATCTTCTCTCTTTATATACCCTTGTACTACTTTTGATTCTGATTATAAGATCTTATTTGTAGATTATAAACAAGGTCTTATAATTAAGACCATAGTAGTATTATTTATTCCTTTTCTAATGAGTAACTTTTTGTTCTGGCCAAATATCTGTTGCGCAGCTTGGCGTTTCACCATTATTACAAATTGCCTTGTAAATATGATTCCATATTCAGTATCCAACCAAAATAAGTGTTTCAAATTGAAAAATGTGGGAATCCGGTCCATGCCCTATCTTCTCTTTTCATTTATTCTCCTCTTTGTTTCTGCTCTCACTTTAAACTCTCCCTTCCACGTACACTTCGCTCTCCATAATAATTTCAGATATCTATGTATCAAAACATATATAAGTACATGACAGATGGGTACATTTCTCCGTATCGAACATTACATAAGAAGAGTTCAACTCTACGGTTAATTCATATTTTTCTTTAACTTCCTTGGCAGAAACACGAAAGAAAATGTTGCAAGAGTAAGAAGTATCCGATAAGGGATGAAATGTGGTATTAACTAATAACTAACCACAATAAATATATCCAACAACGAATGGATATCAGTAACTCTCAAACAAACGCGAGATAGAACTTTGACAGTCTTAATTATAAGTGGCAACAGGTAAGGCATACAAATATGGGATGGATCGAGTTGGTGTGCAAGTAAAAGGATCTCGTGTACGGTGGACATATTATTACGATTAGCTACATGCAATTATCAACTACATGAATGGATCTGTCAACTACAATTTCTGTTGGGCGTGATGTGATTCATGAGACAGACCATCTACTCTCTTCAATCGTTATTACCACTTACGTTATCTAAAGCCAGCAGTTTTGGTTGATGAATTTCTCATAATTAATACCAATCACAAAACCTCCTCCTCCCTTTTTTGTTCATGGGCAGTTGATCCAAGCATCATTGAATGGCCACAATTTGTAGTCTTTTTATGTCTTTAATTTAGTATGGTGATCACTAAAAGCAGGGTGACAAATACATCTCTACTTTTCTGTGATTAATTTTAAAGGTTATCCACTTGATTAATGAATAGTTATGACTGTGAAAATGATTTGTATTTCCTTTCTCGTCAAACACTTGCTTTTGTTTTACGAGGACTCTAGCAAACTGAACTTTCATATATATGTCGACATTAAGGATCAACGAAGTAGGAATATAGAAATAAGTTGCCTCTCCTGTATTGTTTATATTCTCCTCTACTCGTACTCGCAAATTAATTGATTATTAAAGGGCAATTAGTGGTCTCTATCTATACCATCCACTATATAATCCACCTTTGAATCAAACAAAAACACACATACACAAAATCCCCTCTTCACATCCAGCTATCTACTCCTGCAATTTGACGCGACCCCAAGTTGTTCCTGTGATCTCCGTCAATTATATTAAGGTATTCTCAAAAACTCATCTCTATTTTTACTCTGTCTAAATATTGAACGCATGTACATGTGGGAAAAATTCATGACCCTTCACAATATGCATTCAGGTCTGTGGCAATGGAGCCTGGGAAATTGTTGAGCGGTGAAAGAGGAAGAAAGAAGTCCGAGGCTGGATCTGAGGCTGAACTGTCGCCTGTGAACTCATCGTCGGAGATAGTGACGTGGTCAAACAACTCGTCGGAGACGACGGTGGAGGGGTCATCGTGCGTGTCTTGGGAGGCAGAAAATGAGAGCGTGGAGACAAGGTCGATGCAGCTCGTAGGTTGTCGGCGGTGCCTCATGTATGTTCTGTTATCAGATGTGGATCCTAATGCCCCAAGTGCAAGAGCACCGTCTTGCTCGACTTCCTCAACGACGATACCTCCTCCACCACCAAGAAACCAGACAACTAATTAATGGCGTCAATTCTATCATATCCATCTGTATGTGTCCGTCAGATTATTAAGGTAGCAGAAACTTTGTTCATTTGCCTTATGAATCCCACTTTTTGACTTGTGATTATTATACATGCATGCTTTTCATCGTCTTCTTTTCTGTTGGTGTTTCCTTTCATGTGAGGCATCAGAGAGGATGTATTAAAGTGCAGAGATTGTTCAAGGTGAATTATAAACTCCATATTTTCTAAACTCCAAAACTGATCTCTTTTGATCAATTAGAAGGGCTTTTGTTTTTTTTTAAAAAAAAAACTCGTCTGTGACTTCAGATATTGATTCTAAATTATTATTCATCTAAGATTTACATCGGATATGTATATAGTATAGTATGGGGTGGGGAGTACTGATAATCAAGTTTTTTACGTCTTTAACTTCTAGTTCTAGATATGTGAAATTAATGTATTTGTGTAGGAGATTCATGATATGTAGACAATTGCATGTATTTAAAATTATGAATTATACACGTATCTTAATATCGATAAGACGATGGGAGTTAGTGTGGTCGAAAAAGATTAAGTTTGAGGGCGGTTTGTTTTTCTCATTTAAATTTAAAATGAGTCTTTATTAATCAATTTAAGTCGTCTGAACTCCCGTTCCTTAATTGAGTAATTCAGAATTTAATTTCTAACGGTTAAGATTTCTATCTTAGTGAAAAATGCCCCGGGAGAGAAGCCAAAAAAAAAAAAAGCTTCTCTGTGTGTGGGGGGGGGGGGGGGGAGGAACAATGAATAATAAAATATGAGAGACATGTAATGAATGAATGAACGCTCAATTTTATTTTTGGGGTCAGAGAATGGATGCTCAAAATGACGACAAAGAAGCATAATTAGAGCGTGCGCCAGAACGAAACATTATAATTATGAGCGCTCAATAGATAATTATAAACATCGATGATCACTTTTAAATTTAAATATATAACCTCATGTTTAGAATTGTATATAATCCACGTGCGCAACATTTATAAAAGAATATTTAATTTAATGCCATGGCCGCCAAGGGAATCCGAGCTTCATCACACCGTCTTATTTTAAGGAAAATCACTTTGATGTCGTGTATATATAACAACTTAAAATATAGAATTTTCTATAAATTTAATTGCAAATAAATTTAATATACATCTGAACTTAAAAAATTCTCTCTGCCGGCAAAAAAAAAAAAATCTCCCTCTTCTTATTAATCGCCAAAGCCATCACCGTCATCGTGCATTGTAATTATTTCAAAGTAATTTGATTATTTTGAAAACCTTTTTTAATATTTTGAGGAGTTGTATGAGACTTGGAAGTAATTTTCTCCTATTTTAAGCGAGATAAATCAAAAATACTTCTAATCAATTTTTTAGTTTAAAATAAATGCTAATCAAAAGTCCAAATTTTTTATTTTACATGCATTTTTATTATTTCTCATTTTTTTCCTCTCTTCCCCCTACATGTAAAACTTTATTCATCAATACGAACGAAATGAAAAAAAAATACCTATTAATTATCCTAACAACTTTTTATATTTTAAACTATAATTCTTTTTAAAAAACCTTTCATATTATGGGGCAAACAGTCTGCTTAAAATTTTGGCGACCATCTAATTTTAGTGAGGGAGGCTGAAAGCATAACTAGTTCACGACAGTCTCTTGCATAAGTCAGAACCAAAAGCTTTCTAAAAATGCTAACTCCGTTTTTAATATAAAAGCTTATTTAATTTTTATTTTGATTCTAAATATAAAACTCCAATCTACTTTATCTTTTATATTTATTTATTTTTTTAAGATAATCTTTTAATAAGGATAGTTCTAGTTAACATAGTTGATTAACAAAAATGTTTTAAGAAAAAAATATCTATTTATATAAATAACTAACTTAACTAATTTTTTAATCTATTAAAATTAATCAACTAACTCTTATATTAAAGACAGAAAGTAGTAATAAATGATGTGAGCGACTAGGCTAGGCGGCTATTTTTTAATTTTTAATAGATATTGATACTACTATGAAACTAGGATGTGTTTTGGTGTTCATCAATCTAGACTGTTTAGAAAAGATCTTTATTTTAAAAAATAAAAAAAAATTAAATTTGAATTGTTTAGATTGGATTTGTCTAAATCTGATGGGTTTTGAGTGTTCATTAAAACCCATTACTCATAATTGGCACCCCACATTCATTCCTACGCAACTATTTATCTTTAAATATAAAATCTAATTAAATTTTTTTAAAGATTAAAAAAATGAAGTTAGTTAATTATTATTATATGAAAACTGTATACTTTGTAGGAATAGTGGAAATTGTTAAATTTGTTTAAATTTCTGAAGGTATATAGAACTTTGAAGGCAGTGTGTTGAAAGTTCAAAGAGGAAGTGGGTGGTGCAGGTAATTTGGTCAACAACTGGAGCGCCGTCTGGACTCAGGACTGCGGAAGACAGCTCTACTAATTGACGCACACATGCTGACAAGTGAGTGCGGAATTATTAAATAATATCTCCGGTACTTAGTTAAATAATTTAAATAAATAAAAATATTTGTTGAGTTAGTTATTTATATTAAATAGATACTGTTTTTTAAAAATATCTTTACTAATTATGTTATTAATTAGAATTACTATTTGATGAAATATTTAACATTTATATACTGCAATGACCACTTTAAAAAAATAAATAAATATAAAAAATAAAATGAATTAGGATCTTATATTTAGAATCAAATTAAATATTAAATAAACTCTTATATTAAAAATAAAAGACAGTGTTAATAATAAAAGTTAGCTGTAAGAGCACGCGTTTGATGCCTCTCTCACGGCCTAATTAACATCCTAATCATCACTATCAATCATGCTGCCAAATTCCCCACTCCTCGCCAACTGCTTCCTAATCATCCCTCAGCCCTGCTCCCTTTTTTTTCCCAAAAAAAAAGAAAACTTTTTTTAAGACTTCGCATCTAGGGGTTACTTACACCGCTGGTGGGGCGTCTTATCGTCTCTTCTGTTTTCCTCCTCCGATTCGTAAATTTCAGGACATTCTCTGCTCTCTATGTTATCCACAACCTCTTTACATACATATATTGCTATTATCATAACAATTTTCTACCTCAAGAAAGAAAGTTATATACATTAATTTTATTAAAATCATGCAGGCATTTATTTTAATTCCAAAAAAATATTTGTATTTTCATACGGAAAGAATATATCAATATAATTTTAAATGAAATTTTTAAAAATATATACCATATAGAAACCAATGTAGGCTCTCGCCTTCCTATAAAAACTTATAAACCCCGCGTTCGTTGTACTCTTTATTGAAACTCGTATAACTTCATATTGAGGAATGTACTGAGAGGGGTGCCTGGTGTCAGCTGGACTATAAATTCCAACAAATCTAATGAATTTTCCTATCTAACAAAGTAGTTAACTGGTAATATCGTGTAAAAGCAGTTGACAGTCTGTATTTTAGTAGCTAAAAACAACGACTAACAGTAGTCTGCTTGTTAAGGTAATTTTATATAATTCTGGGGATGGTGTGGTACAAGGTATGTTAGTTATTGGAAAGAATCTTCAAATAGGTGATATAAGGAAGGCGAATTATCACTGAAATCAAGCAACTGTTAATTGTTTTTTTTATTTATGTTTCACTTGGCCAAAAGCAATTGTCCACAAATTCAAGTCCCTTTAACACCTTTCTTGTGTTTGGTAACAGTAAATTGATAGCTTTTAAACACTGAGGGTTTGGATGTGTATTAATTCAGTCTTCCTTGTTTCGTTATTGTTCATACATCACATCCGGTTTTGGGGGGAATTGATAAACATGACTAGCAAAGCCATAGGGGATGTTTCTTAGAAATTGGGAAAAAGCGGGTGTATTATATACGTGTGTCGGAAAACTGTTACGTTATATAAATAATTGCTTTGGGGAAAGACGGATATTCCCAAAGATTAAAAAACCCGGATCAAGTAGGTAATTAATGGATTAAAAAATGAAGGAGGGGGAAGATTAATTAATTAATTAATTAATAATGAATGAAAGCGGAGGAGGCCATCATAGACCGGGTCCGTGATTGGACTCTGAACATGCGTTTGCTCAGAGTGGAGTCAAAATTGCTGGACGCGTTGAACTTGGTCAGTTTACACTCACGTTTCACAACCCACTTTTCTTGCCCCTATTCGCTCTACACTTCCTATCACGCCTCCTCTCTTCCCCACTTTCCAAGCAACATCTTCTTCCCCCTTCCCCGCCTTCGTATAAAAACCCTCCCCTTCTTTTCTCTCTTGTGCGTAACAACCCTCACCATCGGAATCCCAGCTCCCTGATTTTCTTCAGCCTCTCCTTCTCTTCCTTCTCCTTCTTCCCTTCAACATCACTCATCATCGCCGCCCTGCTTGCTCACCATGGTCACTGAAGATCTGAAATCGAAGCCCATCCAGATCCGTGAAGTATGGGCCTCTAATCTCGATGCTGAATTCCGACTCATCCGCGAATTGATCGATCGCTACCCTTTTATCTCCATGGACACAGAATTCCCCGGCGTCATCTTCCGCCCTCAGGTCGACCCTGCTATTCCTTACCACCACCGCCAGCTCCTTCCCACCGATCACTACCGCCTCTTGAAGGCCAACGTTGACGCCTTGAATCTCATCCAAGTCGGCCTCACCCTCTCCGATGCTGATGGCAACCTTCCCGACCTCGGATCCGAGAACCGCTTCATCTGGGAGTTCAACTTCTGCGACTTCGACCTGGCGCGTGACTCCTTCGCCCCTGATTCCATCGACTTGCTGCGCCGGCAGGGGATCGACTTCCAGAGAAACGTCGAGGACGGAGTCGACTCGGCCCGGTTCGCGGAGTTGATGATGTCGTCGGGGCTCGTCTGCAACGAGTCTGTGAGTTGGGTGACGTTCCACAGCGCATATGATTTCGGGTACCTGGTAAAGATCCTGACCCGACGGAGCTTGCCGAAGGGGGTGAAGGAATTCTTGAGATTGTTGAGGGTGTTTTTCGGAAATAATGTTTATGATATCAAGCACATGATGCGGTTCTGCAAGAGCCTGTACGGGGGGTTGGACCGGGTGGCCAGGACCCTCAGTGTGAACCGGGCTGTGGGGAAGTGCCATCAAGCCGGGTCGGACAGCTTGCTGACGTGGCACGCCTTTCAGAGAATGAGGGATATATTTTTTGTAAAGGACGGACCGGAGAATTATGCCGGCGTTTTGTATGGATTAGAGGTGATATGTTAATTAAAAATATATAAAAAAATAATTGGTTTATTATTTTATTTGTTCACTTAAAAACTCTTTCCTCTGCTTTGAAAATTGAAATAGGAATTCCGAACGGATAATTTGATCAGCCGGCCTGGCCTAAAAAGAACGGTCAAATTGGTTTCAGGCCAGCAAGTTGGTCATTAAGAAAAAGAAATACTCCTCCGATCCTTATTATAAGACCCAATTTGACTTTTTATTTGGTTCTAATTATAAGACCCAATCTATTTTATCTCTTATATTTATGTATTTTTTTTCAAGATAATCCTTATAATAATGATAGTTTTAGCCAATATACTTAATTAGCAAGGATATTTTAGAAATGACAACACTTATTTATTATAAATAACCAACTTAACTTACTTTCTTAATCTCCTCAAATAAGTCAATTGGGTCTTATAATTAGGACCGGAGGAGTAGATGGGAATTAGCAGAGAAACCGTCAATTGTAGGAATCTGCGATTGTCCGGTTCTGGGAACCGTTGATCCACTTCCCTGTAACTGATCCTGGGAGTTCTCATTGACATCGACCCCCAAACAAAATGGTGCTAAGTAAATTAGATACTAACAATTGAGAGACAGCTGGTAGCATATACTTTTATATAGTATTTTTAGCTAATTTATATTTTAAATATATTTTTTGAAAAGAAATTCTTATAATTTTGAATCGATATAACAATTGTTACTAGTGCTGCTTTTCTTTTTTGAAAAGAGAAATGATGATATACTGTTGTAGATAAACACAATCCACAGGAATAAAAAGAGAGAATATAACCCTATCCAGAATCCACGGTTTTTTCCTTCTTTGCTTTTGGCCATTTTTTGATGCGTGCATGAAAAATATTTATTTTGAAAAAGCAAAGATGTTACTAGGCAATAACATTTTTGGGGGAAAAAAAAGACAGGGAGGGGCAAATATATGTTGTTACTTTTTTGTTTTTATCCAAATATGTTGTTTACCTTTTTTGGCCTCCTTTTTAAACTTATTTATGAAGGAAAGGGGAGTCTCTTTCCTCTCAGACCTTTTCTGGAAACTATATACAAAGAGAAACCATTTAATCTATTTTTTAAATGTTTGGTTTATTTATATATACTAATATAAATTTATCCACTAAATTCTGAAAATCTGAATCCACTTCAAATTGAGCTAGAAAACCAGGGGCCGGTTGAGGTCTCCCAAATTACATTTTCTTATTTATGATAAATGATACTCCATTTGTCCATTTTGTCCATATTATCTAAAGATAAAAATAATAAATTTATAATATGTGTGTGTGCAGGTGGGAAACAAGAACAATTTACATGCATTAAAATTACAAGAAAACAAATTTGATTGCGTGGCAGGGAGTGATGCTGGGCTATTGCTCTTCAGGGCTCGTTAAATAAAGTTGAAACCGTCAAAGAAGATAATCATTTTGAGTTAGGATTCATATTTTGTTAGAGAGGGTCAGTCAAAGGGATAGGATACTGCAACACATAATCAGAGAGTTGAATCTGAAGCAGCCCGTATCGCCATAATATGGGAATTGTTAGCAGTCTCGTTATATGTCAGCTGGGATTAACTACAACCTCCGGTTCTAAATATAAAAACTAATTGATTAATTTAAAAAAATTAAGAAAATAAGTTAAATTAATTATTTATAATAAATAGGTATTTTCTTTCTTAAAATATCTTCATTTGACTTTTATTTTAATCCTACATATAAGAACCCAATCTACTTTGTCTCTCATATTTATATATTTTTGTTGGAAAAATTAATCTTTTAGTCCCTATAGTTTTCACTCATTTGTAACTCAGTCCCTACACTTTGATTTAGTGCAACTCAGTTCCTTTAATTTTGACTCGGTTGTAACTCGGTCCTTGAAATTTGACTCACTGCAACTCAGTCCCTATAATTTTAACCATTTTATAATTGAGTCCCTCTTTTTATTAGATATATAATTTTACTTTTCAAAAACACAAGGACTAAATTATAAAATAGACAAAACTATAGGGACCGAGTTACAGCTAGTCAAACTTCAAAGACTGAGTTATAACTGAGTTAAAACTAAAAGGATTGAGTTGTACCATGTCAAAGTAAAAGGACTAAGTTACAAATGAGTGAAAACTCTAGGGACCAAAAGATTAATTTTCCCTATTTTTTTTTTCAAGATAGTCTTTTAAATAATGATAGTACTAGTTAATATACTTGATTAGAAAGGATATTTTAGGAAAGATAGTACTTATTTATTACAAATAACTAACTTAACTTATTTTCTTATTTTTTTTAAATTAGTTAACCAGCTCTTACATTTAAAACTGAAGGTAGTATTTATTATGAGACTATTCTATGTCGGTCAATATCCCCAAAAGAAAAACGTTTTGGATTTGAATAGAATTGGAATCATGTGAGTCAGAAATAATTGGCACCCAACATTTGTTATTCAGAATTTATATTCATGAAAAAGGTCATGGCAAGTTTCGAGATTATTTTGAAGGCATTCAAAAAGTTTTATATTTTTGCTTCAAACAGTAGGGTAGACCATTATCCATCTGTTCAAGTTGCCCTATCAATGATATACACGCGCTGGGGAATGAAAAAGGAAATCTACTCGCATTTTGTCATGCTCCAGGACTTCGCAATCAATTTTAGAGTTTAATGCCTGAAATTACAATTTTATCTTCCATTTTAGTAATTTTGTACTGGAGTCCTCCTGATTGGTCTGTGATCACTAATCATACTGATATTAAAGTACAATCTATTATAATACTCCTCCGGTTCTTATTATAAGACCCAATTTGACTTTTTATTTGGTCCTAATTATAAGACCCAATCCATTTTCTCTTTTATATTTATGCATTTTTTTCCAAGATAATCCTTCTAATAATAATAGTTTTAGCCAATATACTTAATTAGCAAGGATATTTTAGGAATAACAACACTTATTTATTATAAATAACCAACTTAACTTACTTCCTTAATCTCCTCAAATAAGTCAATTGGGTCTTATAATTAGGACCGGAGGAGTATATATTTAATCGTTTAGTAAAGACAATTCAAAATTCTAATAGTAGGGTAGTATATACAAAGGTGATTGGATCCGCGTTCGAAGTTGATATATCAATGCTGGTAAAAAAATAAAAATAAAAAACTGCCAAATACTAAGTTTCTTTTATTCTCTATTTATAAGCTTTAAATTTAAGAACAAGTGCAGGTTAATTTTATAAGCTTTAATTTAAAATTTATCTTAATATTTAATATATTTTTTTAATTTGGCCTCTAATTATTTATTCTCTCTCCTTGCCATAATCTCTCATTATATTTTCTCAACACATTCTCTTTTTCTCATTTATTATAAGGTCATATTTAAAAATAAAAATATATTTTTAACCTATTTATTGTTTTTAACTAATTAGTTATTATCTGCAAATTAGTTATTTGAAACTTATAATAAAAATATGAGAGAGTAATATATTGTTTTGTGTGTTTTGGGAATGGCAAATAATATGTCTGGGAATTGGAGATGAAGGTCATGCTGTTTCCTTTAAAGGGGCAAGCACATTACCGCTCTTGTTTCATTTTTCTCTACCTAAGTAAGATATTTTCAAAATTATTATTCAATATTTTAGTTTTCTTAAATTTGAACCACAACATTTTTTAATTTATTTCATTTTGTATGCCAAATAAGTCCTTTACATATTAAAAAAAAGCCTATGCAAAATCAATCACAATATCTTTATTGAGTATATCAGACTCAAATGAGGCTATGAATTCTCTTACCATCACACCAACTAATTGAGAGTTATATAAATAGATTGATGCATAAAATTACTTTTTAAAATCAAACCTCAAATATATAATGTCATTGTTGGTTCTTATAGTTTAATAGAATTTTAATTTTGGTGCTTGTATTTTTAGATTATGGTTTTTAGCTCTTATAATTTCATACGGATTGATATTGTTAAGTGTCATAGCAAAAACCAAAATTCGCCTGATGAGTTTTAGTTCTGGTCCTTATACTTAATGATGATAACTAAAAGTCAACACCATTAAACTTTAAATTAAATTCTTATGAAATTATAAACACAAAAGATCACAATTTAAAACTACAGCAGCTAAAATTAAACTTCAATTAAACAGTAAGAACCAACAATAGTATAGTCCAAAATGTTTGCATGATTCATGTGACATTTGAAGTTTTATTTGTTTTGATTTTACCGGCAGATATTTGAAGTTTTAATTTGGGCCAAAAAAATAGAAGAAGAAATGTATATACCTCTGGTTCAAAATATAAGTTAAACTCTGTTGGTGGGGCTTAGTTTTTTTATAAGATAACATTTACTTTTGTTTAAATATTTAATGAGTTTTTTTCGATTTTACCCCTTATATATTTTCTTTCTTCTTTAATTTATTTACTGCATCTTTTACTTATTCTTTTCATTAATAAAGGCATATTTGGGGGGAAAAAATACATACCTTGCATATTTATTGTTTAAAACTGATTTTAACTTATTTCTTAATAAACTTAAATAGATAAAATTTAGCTTGTATTTTGAACCGGAGTTAGTAGTTGTTTGGAGTATATAAATAAAGAGTTGGGCGAGGAAAGTAGGTGGGAAAACGAGGCATTTGTGAATGAATATTTAGCAAAGTTGGGGGAAAGCGTGGAAGTGTGGCTGTAGCCTGGGGAAAAAGGAACGTTGTTCAAACTCATCTTTCACAACTAAATTAACGTAACACTCTGCCTGCTTAAATGAACTTAATTAATTTGGTATGCTCCCTTATTTATTCCCATACGTACACACAAAACGATCTCTAGGTCTGTAACTAGTTTAATTTTGGGGTCTTTGGTGGGTACGGATACAGTTCCATAAATAACGAATTGTGTGCGTACAATAAGATACTAGTAAGTAAGAGCCTTTTTCGTTAATTAGTTTCAAAGTTAATTTATTGAACTCCCAGTGTTAATGCTCTGCCTGCCCAAAGCCCCACTTCTTTCACCCCTCTTATGCCACATTTAATTCACGACTCTCCTCCCTTTCCCATCGGGAACGTGGTGCATGGTCGGCACGCACACCTGAAAAGTGTAATTTGTTTCATTCAACAGTCTATAAAGCTAATCATTTAATAATTAATATATATGTGTGTATATTTAAATAATACAAGAAATTTTTTTAAGAAAAACTACTCAGGTCTTTGAAAAAGAACATAATTATCAAAGAATTTCATTGACAAGTGAGTAGTAGGAATCTCATTATCATTTTCTAGTCTAAAACTAGTTAAAGAGTTGTTATGCTGGAATTCTTGAAACTATGGGGTGATTTTTCCAAAATATTTAAAAAGGTAATATTATTGCGTAACAATCTTTGACTTTGCTACCTATACGCTTCTCTGGTGTCCTTCCCCGAGTCAATGGTTCCACATTTCTATATCAACCCAAGAGGGATTCATTCGTTTACTTTGAATTTCAGCCACAATTCAACGACAAGCTTTTTCAAGGAAAGTCATTTTGGTGCACACTTCTAATAAATTTTACCTTCATAGTCCATACATTAGGGCTTTAATTCCATCAAAATTTTCAGCAATAATAGAAATATATATATATATACTGATTTCTCGTCATATTAAAACTTCCATATTTTTTGGCAGACGGTAAAATTGAGTATGATCATTCTAATAATTTAATATTGCTACAATTTATTTATATTTTGATAAATAAACATGATCACCTATGACCACTCTCGAGTAAACAGGCTGCATATATATTAATTCCTTTGACATACTGGGATCGATGTCAAAAAATAGGCTGGCAAGTTTGATAGATAAACATGTGAGAGGTTGCGTAAATTCATATATATATATATATATGTAAAGAAATAAATCGGCAGGATTTATATATCTATATTGGATTAAGAATTACCTTGAGAAGCTAAGAGAGATTTGATTAATATATATAGATGAATCATCATAGATATAAAATTCTGGTTCTTTGCTTGAAGCATTAATGGTTTTATGAGGGAACCCCACGTACATGAATGATACAGAGAGGCAGTGACGCGGGCATGCAGCTTCTTCCCACGCCGGCATTGAATGCCTTCACATGGAATGGCCTACGCACGTGCCGCTGGCTGATTCCTCACGTGACCATAACGCCTCATCCCCTTGCTCTTGTTCGTCGTCGTCTTCTTGTTATTATCATTATTTGGAAACGCATCTTCGCAGATTTGCGTGTACGCCTTCACGATCACCTCGTGCTGTCTCGGCGAGTTCAGCTCCAGGAATGCTTCCAGAAGCTCCTCCAGATCGGATTCCGAGTACATCTCCTTCTCAAATATCATCTGCAGCATCGAGTGCCGGAAATCCTTGTACGGATCCTCCGACTCCTTCTCCACCGCCACGCTGTTCACTATCGGACTCTGCTTCGCCATCACGTTACTCGAATTCTTCCAGCTCCTCTGGGTCTCCGTCTCGGCTTCCGACACGGTGGTGGATGTGAAATCCCCGTCGTCTTCGTCGATTGAGTGGGCGCAGATTCGGTCGCCGGAGGTGGCGGTTGAAGATGTGAAGCCGCCCATTGGGTTCGGGTTTTTTTGCTTGGGCTTGGGCTCGAAGACGTCGGTGGGCTTGGGCCTGCCACAGCCGCAGCTTCCATTTGCAGTGAGGAGTATTCTGAGAAGAGTTCTCTTCTGGGAAGACATGAGGAGGCAGAAAATGAGAGAGAGGAGTGAGGAGCAGAGAAAAAGATATGAAGAGGGAGGGTGTTGGTGGGAGAGTGAATGAGAGTCACTTTCAGAGGGGTTTGGTGGGAGAGGAGGGGGTTGGGAGATTTATGAAGGCATTGTGCAGTATTGGATAGTTTTGAGGTGTCGTATTTGGGATAACAAAGGGATTCATGATGTTATGAAGCTTCCTCAAGACCTACTCTCGCTCATCATCATTCATCACATTCCTCTTTTGGCTTTGGATAGATGAATCCAGGTACCATCGATTTCTGTGTCATTCTTGTTGGTTGTGCTATACGTAAGTGATGCCACTGGCATGACAATGCATCTCAAGTACAAGAGCAGATTCTTTGAATTAACGGACAAGTATTCGAAGTTTTGATTTGTGAGCCTTAATTACGTTGTTTGATTCACAACTAACTTCTGAGTTTGTACAAAGTTAGAAACTACGAATTGCCTTCCAAGCCAACATATTATTTATACATATCTCCGCCAGGTTTTACTCGGCATTAATTGATCAGCCGATCACGGCCCTAGATCCCTTGTGTGTGAGACAAGTGATTCCATATGTCAAATGGCTGTATATCACTTGTTTGGAAAGTTTCGAGAAATTCTAACGTAACATATACATACGTTAGAGTTTAGAATGCAATCAAAATGGGGGACGCGTGGTAAGGATGAATCATTTCAGAACAAGCTATTCCTATCAACATAACGGGGACGTATCTATGTAACTTTACACACATGATTAACTAACCACACTTAATTTTTTTTTTTATTTCTCAAAATTAACACTGTATATTAGGGACGGGATTCTCTCGGTACATTTTTGCTGCAGAACATTAGTATGATTAATTAATAACTAATTGAACAACATTCTTCTAAAAAGTGGATCCGTAATGGGCAGCAAAAGTAGCATAATTGCATCTTAAAGGATCCTTCCCTAACACATTTGTCTTGCTTTATTTCTCACATTGATGGCTGTTTCACTTTACAGCAACCCACTTCATAATGGCGTACCCTTCTCCAAATAGGTCAATATATTTTCTATGTTTTGTTTTAATTCGTTCCTATCAGATAGTTCGTCACAGCCATATACATAATCACCTAGGCTATCAGCATTAGATGTTAAAGTTCAATATAATGTGATATGAGTCTGCAAAATCGTTCAACCTGAGAAAAGTATGTGATTCTAAAAAATAGAGTTAATTTTAAAATTGGGTCAGAGCCAAATCATTTTTTTTAAATATATTAACCACGAATTAAAATTATTCGGTTTAAAGTGTCTTGCGTATACATTACAATGTAACTAACCATTTGACAAGAATAAATTATTTTTTGAATATTTGATTAGCGTTGCAAACAATTAAAGGGTAAAGATTTCTCCCCATAGACAATTCTATTTGAACCCAGAATTTTCCTAACGTTGCAAAAAAAAAAAAAAAAAGAGCATTGAAATCTTTTCAGTGAATTATTTTTTTAGACCTTTTTTTTTGGTAGGCTTTTTTAGACTTGTTTAAGAGCCGAAAAAGCATTTCTTCGATATAACAAATGGGCCCTGATGCGCAATCCATGTGGATCGTTTAATCCACTGTTGTGCCCCAAAAAAATGAAACGCATCGACCAAGAGTTAGCTGGGGACTTGTGATTAATTTAATTAACTCCCAAAATAACCCAAAAAAAAAAACAACAACAGAGGTTCTTATAGTTTTACTCTCTATTCCATAAAAAAAAATTAGACACACTTCTCCGTGCATGCATGGTGTGACATATGAATGTTCAATAGCGTAGTTTACATTAGATTTTATTAATTTTTGGCAACAAAAAAAAAAGATTTTATTAAAATTAATATCAATATCAAATGCAAAATTTTCAGTTACTTATATTTATTTATAAGTCATAAATAGTGTCTGATTACTTGCGGTACAATTTTTATGGTTCTTTCATACACCTTGGCGAACTCTTTTCAACTTTTTTTTATTCATTTAATCTTTTTCCATACATTTGAAGAGGATTTAAATTTTAAAACAAGAAGTATAATCCTTTTAAAACTTGTAAGTTATTTTACAAACTACAACGGATTGTCACGCTTGTATAATCCAAATCTACATGAGAAAATAAAGATATAAAAATATATAAAAGTTAGATGAACTAAATTGTTTAATCCGGAAAGCAACTGTAGTGGAGGTGCTGCTACACGTCCCTTCCCAGGCCATAAAAATTTGGGTGCCCACAGAATTTAGGCAAAGAGTGGGATTGGGATGCACAGGTAATTTAATATTTGATATTTTTGTCATGTGATTACAATTTATCCTTTTTTATCTCTTTCTATCTCTCTCCTTCTCTGGCTCTAAGTGAGCTAGCTCACACGAATTATTCTGGGTATCTTCATTATCAATTCTGATTATCGAGGAAGCTCTCTCTATGTTCTGAATAGGGAGAAAATTTCTTGATTGACCCAACAATGGCTACCACTTTGCTAATCCCATCCTCCTGCTCTGCTTCTTTTCTGAGCAAAGGGACGACCAGATTTCGCAATTATGCTCTGTCACGTAAATGCCATGTAAAGAGCTTCAGAGTGAGAGCCGTTAAAGAGAAAACAGATGAACTTAAAAACCCATCTCAGCCATCCTCTTCAGCTGAGGAGATTACCAAGAAGTATGGCCTCGAAGCTGGCCTATGGAAGGTTCTCATTTCTTCTCTACTTCGGCTCGTTTGACTTTGATTCGGAGTTTGCGGGTCGCTGAATTTTCTGACGATTCTTCTTTATGTACAATTATTTCCTCCTTTCCTTTGATTATGTACAAGGGTTTCCAAAATTTTCAACTTTCCGTAAGAGTAAATGCAATTTGCAGTGAGCTTAGAGTAAGTTAGAACTCTGAAGCATATTGGTTGGGTATATCAGTTGTAAGCACACCGCAGAGCAAGATTAGGTTTAGTTGCCGAGGAAATTAAGGAAACCTGAACTTCACGTACACAAACATCAGGAAGTAGCAAATAACTAGTTTTGCTTGCTTGTTCAATTGAATTCGCATTGCTTCCTTGATGCAGCTTTATCCTAGTTTATTTGCAGAATTAATTAGTATAGAAATCCTATTATGCGATACACGCTCAGCCATTTGCTGATTTTTCAAGTCACGGTTACTAGAGAATTTGTCCTTAATTGATGGTTTGTTTTTTTGCCTTTTAAGGTAAAATGAAAACTCACTAATCGATGAGGTCAGAGTGAAATTTCAGGCTATACTTCGAAGGCATGTTGAGTAAACTTTTTCTTGAAAGAAATTATGGTCGCTTGTGCAGATTTTCAGCTCAAAAGACGAAGGAAATGGTGATCCCGAAAGGAAGAAATCAAAGGGCGACGAAGCCAAGGAGTTGTTAGCAAAATATGGAGGAGCTTATCTGGCCACCTCTATCACTCTGTCTCTGATCTCATTCGCTCTGTGCTATGCACTAATCAGTGCGGGCATTGATGTCCAAGCGCTGTTACATAAGGTACAACGTTGAACCTTACGTGGATTGCAATCTAAACAATGTTAAGTTTGAGTTTCCACAGATTTAATAATGTAACTGTCTTTTCTTAGGTGGGAATCTCAATTGATGAGACAGGGGAGCGAGTTGGAACCTTTGCTTTGGCATATGCTGCGCACAAGGCTGCATCTCCTATTAGGTTTCCTCCAACAGTGGCTCTTACACCTATTGTTGCTGGTTGGATTGGAAAGAAAGTAGACAAGGATAAGTAGTTCGTATAGGAGCTCTGAGATCCAACCTTGTTTTGTTTCTATCATATGCTTCTTTTATTTATGTTCTCATGTGAACGTTCGTCTTTACACGCTTAAACAAAGTAATGAAAATAATTTTAAATAGTTGTACTCTAAATCAACCAGCTGCAGGCTCCATCGTTGTGGCATTTATATGTAAATGCAGAAAGCAGAAGTAATGATACAGGAAATATTGAACTTTTGATTCTCCCCCTCCCTTGCTAGAATTGATTGACATAGCTCCCTAGGATTCCTGATCCCGTGGGTGACTCGTTGTGCAAGAATGAGAAAGGGCGAGTAATAAATATGAGAAGGAAAAGAACATTAACAGCAATAGGGAAACAAAAATTAAAAAAAAAAAAAATCCCAGGTGAAAGGTCTCATCCCATTACATGAACAATTGCTCGGTTTCTTTACAACATTGCATGAGAACATAATTGCCTCAAACTGTCTCCGTGAAGGGCAATTTTATTGCTTGGCAAACATCTCGAGGGCACAACGAGCTAGTTGCACTAAAGCCAAGAATTAGAGTAATATACAAGGATGGATTCAGTATAACTCCTAGATGTTTTTCTAAAACCACGAGATCACTTGAATTATGTAAATTAGCTGTACAATGAATCTGCCGTCTGGAGCGCTCCACTCTTTGTTCCTTGCACCAGCTTCTTCACCGAAAACATTAAGAAAACACCTTCATCGAATCTTCGATCCAGTCTCATGCGGTGTGGTGAAGAGGACACAAAGGGGTCGTCTGGATGTCATAGATTCCTAGTAATGAAAGAGCTCTTGACTTCGATTAGATACATAATACATGCTTTTGAAGCTTCAGCCTCCTTCAGGGTTAGCCGTCGAAGGCAGTTGACTCATGTTTGGAGGCGTCTCAGGTCGTGCTGCGCTCTCCTGAGGCATGCAATAATCTTCATTAAGTGCGTCCAGTTCGTTCCATTCAATTCCAGCTGTAGATACATCAAGGAATTTTCCAAAAACATTGAAGATAAGAACCTTTGATCTAAAATTCGAAGGGGGAAAAAATTGCTAAACCTATCCGTTCTAGCATATAGTGCAATGAAGACTAGGACAGAAAGAGGATACATTCTGTTCTCCACATGTCTGTTATGCTAACATCAGCATTTGATAGAAGCCAATAATCAGCATCACTCTGCGAAAAAAATGCCCTCAATGAGAACTAAGAATTACGATTACACTTTTGAAGATGAAATAGTACAAAGATCTTCATGCCACAATCGATTTGAGTTTTGGGTATTATAAGATCATGCACCTACAACAAGTCCTTGAACTGTTCTTCGCAAATCCATAGGACTCGAGAAAATAAAGGTCACCAACTAAGGTCATACTTACATCAACATCTGACGGAACAATCTTCATGATCCCACTAACGAAGTCCTGTGAGGCACTCAAATCAGAACCAGGTCTATGACCGTCTTGTTCCTGCATTTCTTTGTCATTCCTTGCATCCTCAGTGATCACTGTTGCCGGATGCCTGTTCAACTCTGGACTGGATGGAAGATTGGGTGGTACATCGACTCCATTGATCTCCTCAAATTTTTCCTCAAATTGACTGAAATGGCATACAGAGAAGGAAAGATCAGCGATTTCAATATTGCAATTCTCCAATACATTTGTTATTGAACACGAAAGTTAGTACTGAAAATATTCATGGATGTAATCATATGCCACGGGATACACTGGTAGTGGAGGAGACCACTTATTTATGCATCGTTTATGTTGCATCCAAGTTAATTGCTGTACCAAAGGTCCATGTTACTTTGCTTTATCATTTTCCCCGATCACTAAGTGTCGTTGTTGTTCTGACTTTAGATCGTCCACTTGTGCAGCAACAGAAAGAGTGATCCAAATAGGTCAATGTGCATGAAGTCCACCTTTTCTCTTTTCACCAATTTTTTCTTTTTACCTATCTCATTCTAATAACACTAATATTCAGTCCATTTATAGACTACAAAGAATTTGGAATCTCTTTGTTCCACTGGCATTTGCCATCGTAACAAACATAAGTGAGTTAAATGATTATTAACGGCCAAAACAATAAGCATACCTAACAAGGTAAACATCTATTGGGCCCATTGTGCTTCTGAGGATTATCCTGTATCTCCTTTGGGGATAATCAACAGCCTGAAAGAACATGGAGAAGTTTCATTGCGAAAGATGCGCGTGAAATTAATTACTTCAACACAAATTTAGTACGGTCTGAAATTTACCTCATCTGGATCAGGGACCTCAAGAGTGGTGCCATGGGGAGCTTTAATGGCTATTAAGGTTTCATTCTGACAAAAATGGAATGTCTTAAGTTAACCGCCAAATATTTAGTAACATTTATTTAAAAAAAAAAAAAGAAACAAAGCATCATCATACAAAACATAATCTTTAATGAGCAAAGATGACAAACTGACCAGGAAGCAGGGCAAACCCTTTATATCATCTTCCGTGAGAAAAAGCCACCTATATGGTGGAAAACCATTAAGAAATTTGTCAAATAATATAAACCTCAAATTGTGGTAGAAATGACCTAACTCTGGGTAAAGGTTAGATGGAACTTACTTCTGATTGTTTTCATCTTCACTAAGTTTCCTCAGTCTTTCTTGCATCTCCCTACAGTAATTACAAACTCAGGCTTGTTAAACAGATGGCAAAGAAGCAACACAATAAAGCAGTATCAGCAAAGGCATGGCACCAAAACCTTATTTGCTCATCTAACTGGCCCTCCTTCATAGTAAGGTTTTCAACCTCTGTCTGCACAAGAAAAACAACAAAAGATCAGGAGATACCAAGAGAATTTAGAAGTTCACAGGAATTAATGCCACCTTTTTAAATTTTCCACAAGTGACATTATAAAAGCTTTCAAGATTCTCAGTTCCATTGAAAGGATATTAAGCAAATTTAACTCAATGTGGCCTTGCAACTGTTTCCAGGAGAACAAAATAAGAATTCCCGCCTTCCCAATCTGTCCCATTTATAATAATAAATAGAAGGCAATATTAAAATGAGCTCAGGTATACTGCATTTGGGCAAGAGTTTGCGCATACTAGCTACGGATCATAAAAGAGAGATACAAAACTCAAACAAAGGAAAGAAGAAGAAAAAAGGAAAACCGATTTAAGTATCCTAAAGAAAACAAATCCCATGGGGATTCCAAGCAGCATATAATGCAACTCCTCACCTGCAAACTAGAAAAACTATCATCAGCCTCCCCTGGCCTTGACACATCCAATCCCCTGAAAAGTCATGAAACTTTGAGCATACAAAATAGTTTGACAGCTTAAGTATATTAATGTCAAACTTTATTGAAATATTAAAAGCCTCCCTACTTCCATTGAATTCTGTTTTTGAGCTTCTTTTCTATAAGACCAATCCCTTCAAGAACGTTTGTTATATCATATATTCTCCTCTTTTGCACCTGTATATACCCAAAGAAAAACTTCGGTTAATTCAATTTACATCATGGAATCTTTGGACCAGGCAGAAAAGTAGATACCTCTAATGTATCAGCAGCTTTATTCAAATCAAGAATACCATCCTCGGCTTGCTTGATCAAGTTGATGAACTTTTTTGTCAACAGACCTGTGATTATTAAAAAAGGATGAGGATCAAATGTGTCATAATAAGAACTCAGATGGTAATTGGCAAGAACTAACAATGGCATGGGCAATGCTATGCTACCTAAAGAGCTGTCATAACGACATGGACCAGCTGGAGTAAGATTGTTGCCAGAAGGAGAACCTGCAAATTCATAAAAAGTCATCAGATGCATCTAAACTGTTTGCAAGCAAAGTAATGAACAAGTATCTTACTTGATGTTTGTAACTCCCCCACCCCCCAACCCACCTCATATGGTTTAGAGAATTATACTCACCAACATTTGATCCTGGGGTTTGAGGTCCAGCTTTGCTGCATTTTGGAAGCTTTGATGCTTTGCTTGCCTTCCCCATTTTTCCTGACATCGGAGTCTGAAAAGGGCTATTAGCTGCTTCATTAGATCCTCGGTTCATCCTATCAACGGAATCAGCTTCAGAATTGGCTGTAGTAATCTTTCGCTTCAATTGCTGATACAGAGATTAATAATATATACATATATATTCCAGGAATTAAATTAGTTAGAGTTGTACTATAAAAGGGAAACTTAAAGAACTAAATGGATGTACGGAGGAATTGAGAACTGTGAAGAGTTACATATAATTGAAGTCAATGCTAGGCTACTCAGTTTTCAGTCGATGTTGGAACGGGAACACATGGATGGATTCCCAGGTGATTGTCTAATTCCCAGGATGCATGCATGTGACAAAATTAAAGGCACTTATCGTGTTGGATAAAATGACTCCACTAAAGACTACTTAGACATGAAAAATCTTCAAGACATATCATGTATTGAATAGTTTATTTGCAACTAAACGTATTCTATGTGGAGATAACCTATATAATGAAAACACGTCATGATCTCAGCTGCTGATCAAGTAACAAGGATAATGCTCAAAAAATTTCATTTCTCGAGCATAAGACAAGGAAGTTCTTATAATGGAGGCTTATTGAAATAACCGATAAACGCTATCTATCGCTCCAGATGCTCATTAGACAAGCTTTTGCTCTCACTAACGACAAACAGTTCAAACACGCAAGTATACCCAAAATTTCAGGGCGCCACTACTAACGAACACAGACATGAAGGAGTAGCGCGAAATTCTTTCATTTCACAAGACCTGTAAATCAAATGCAAAGATTAAAAAAAAAAAAAGGATTACTGCGAAGGGTTTTTTCATCCCTTAGCGAAACAAAGTTATACTGCAGTCCAGTGTTACCTCAAGAACTAATCTTGGGTCAAATTTCAATAAATTTTAAACTTGACAACTGATTAAAGTCGTGACCGAGCAGATCTCTACAAAAGCAAAGAAACGTGAAAATAAACTAAAAACGGAAAGCGAAGAGCAACACAGAAAAACAAAAGGAACAGTATACTCACAGGTGACTTGACGACGATGGTTTCGGCTTCTTGGTCAGCAGGTCGGCGTTTGTCGGGCGCGAAGCGATGATAATCTGCGGAAGCAACAAAGGAAGGCTTCATAGACGAGAATGGGAGTTGTCGTTTCATGGAGTGAATGATCTGGTCCGGGGGACGAGAGGAGGAAGACATCCAGCAGGAAGAGACGAAAAGTGAGCAGAGATCGAGTTGGGTGGGGAGGGTTTTCGCGGGGAGTGGAGACACAGGATCGAGAGGGTTTGGGGGTATGAATTGTACGTATGTCAGAGAGCGATTGGGAGTCAGGTTCAGCGAAATTGGACGGCAAAGGGCAGAGGAGGAGAGATCTGGGGCGCTTGGGAAGCAGAAAAATAAAAAAGCGGGAGAGAGAAAGAGAGAAGAAAACGAGGGAACGGAAGGGAAGAACCAAAGAACGATACAAAGAAAGGAAGGAGGGAATTTGGTTCGGATATAGATGTGGAGGGAAGGATTCACTTCCGAAATGAAAATAAAATTCTTAAAAAAATCGCAAATTTTAAACTATTATTTTAATATAATAATAGTATAATTTTGTCGTGAGCTGCAGCGTCAACCGCTTCGGTTCGGCGCCAATCCCACGTGGCCTGGCCTTCCCGCTTACCCGCCCTTTCCAATCATGCTTTCTGAACAATTAGGCCATAACCCCCTCTCTAATCCAATTTTGAGTCGCAATCATTGCGATCCTTCTCAGTTCTTGGTTGGTTCCCCCCCCCCCCTTCCTTCCATCTTTTATTGGGTTTTTAACAAAAAAATGGAATCATAAGCTCGTTATGGAGTATGGAGAATATAATTCGGGGCATGATTTTTTGGTCACCCTTTTAATTCGTCATCAAACTTGTTCGCGCGTGTGTTATGTAATAAAATAAAACACTTAAATCATTGAAATGAGGTTCGAGCAGATTAGTTATAATACGCCATCGATTTCTCGTATAGCATATATTCAGGAGTTGAAGGAAGACATCTCTTTGAAGTGCTTAACAAACACTTCACGATGCTGGGAAAAAAGCCCCTCATGTCGCGCAAATAATATATTACTCCTCCGGTACTTAATATAAGACCCATTTAACAAATTTGATTAGATTAAGAAAGTTAGGTAAATTGGTTAATTATAAGAAAAGTGACACATTTTCCTAAAACACCATAATCATCTTTTTTAATACCCCTCTCCCTTTTCTACTTGATTATGGTTGAGGAAGTATCTATAGGGGTAATTTAGAGAAAATTGATAAATATAAGAAATGGGTCTTATATTTAGGACCAAAATCAACTCAAGAATTGGGTCCTATATTAAGGACCGGAGGAGTATAATCATTTCACATTCACTCTAGAGTACCAAGTCAGCACATTTTTTTACAAGCAACTCGTCTGATATTTTTTTTAATTTGTACAGATTAATTAACCTAATCTGAATATAACCCCAAGATTAATTTATACTACTTTCTGTCTTTAATATAAGAGTTAGTTAACTAATTTGAGTAAATTAAAGAAATTTGTTAAAGGGAAAATGACAATAAAATACCACTTGAATTCTAAAAAGACAAATAAGGCACCTGAATAAGCAATATGACAAATAGGGCACTGGGTACCAATCTGGAATTCATATTTTCGGCCAAAAGACCAAAATGTCCTAATGAAATGGGGGAAGACAGACGCTGAAAGTGAGAGAAAGGAGAGAGGAAGACCGACGCTGATGAAATGCGGGAAGAAGGAAAGAAGAATGTTGGAAATGCTATTATCTTACTCCTTCGCATCACCATTTTGTAGAGATTGTTGATTTTAGTTGTGGAAAAGAGGATTTGTAGTGAGAGAGGGAGTGAACCGAAGCGGAAATCAGAAAACAATGGCAAGCAATTACGTAACGTAACTGCTGTCATATGCCTGCTGGTTTTTGGTAAATCCCACTACGTGAATGGTAAATTTCACTATACATGTAGTTAATTATGAAAGTTAATAGTTCAATATTTATTGTGACGTACTTCAAATGCACGTTCACTGAATGATTTATTTATGCTTATAAGTTGCCTTTCCGGTGAAAACAGGTTTACAAAACCCATTGAAGAAGTAGTCACTTTCACTATAAAAGTTGTAAATCCCAGTATATGTTTTGTAAAATTCAACGTGAAATTTTATTGGTTTTTACAAACAAGTTGTTTATCTCCTGAAAACATGTTGCAAAACCCATTAACAAGTAGTCACTTTCACTACAAAAGTTGTAAATATCACCGTGTGTTTTTTGTAAATTCAGCATGAAATTTTATTGATTTTTAGAAACAAGTTGCTCATCCCCTGAAAAGAGGTTGCAAAACTCATTTAAGAAGTGGTAATTTTCACTACAAAAGTTGTAAATATCACTCTATGTTTTGTAAATTCAGTATGGAATTTTATTGGTTTTTAGAACAAGTTACCCATTCCCTGAAAACTTGTTGCAAAAGCCATTTAAGAAGTGGTTATTTTCACTATAAAAGTTGTAAATATCACTGTGTGTTTTGTAAAATTCAGTCTGGAATTTTATTGGTTTTTAGAAACAAGTTGCCCATCCCCTGAAAACTGGTTGCAAAAGCCATTTAAGAAGTGATCATTTTCACTATAGTGGTTGTAAATTTCACTATACATGTAGTTAATTATGAATTTTACAAAATACATATTGTGATTTATAACTTTTGTAGTAAAAGTGACTACTTTGTTAATGGGTTTTGCAACATGTTTTCAGGAGATAAACAATTTATTTGTAAAAACCAATAAAATTTCACGTTGAATTTTACAAAACATATACTGGGATTTACAACTTTTATAGTGAAAGTGACTACTTCTTCAATGGGTTTTGTAAACCTGTTTTCACCGGAAAGGCAACTTATAAGCATAAATAAATCATTCAGTGAATGTGCATTTGAAGTACGTCACAATAAATATTGAACTATTAACTTTCATAATTAACTACATGTATAGTGAAATTTACCATTCACGTAGTGGGATTTACCAAAAACCAGCAGGCATATGACAGCAGTTACGTTACGTAATTGCTTGCCATTGTTTTCTGATTTTCGCTTCATCTTTCCCACAGCTTCACATTCTCTGAAAATGGTTTTATGCGAAGAACAGAGACAGAACCAAAATTTTTTAGAGAAATGCTAGGCAATAACATTTTAAGCTGTGGGAACCCATCGAAAATCAGCGTCTTCCTCTCTCCTTCCTCTCTTCTTCCCGATTTCATCAGCGTCTTCCTCCTCTCTCCTTCCCGTATTTCATTAGTGTCTTCCTCTCTCCTTCCTCTCACTTTCAGACAGGGCATTTTGGTCTTTTGGCCAAAAATCTGAATTCCAGATTGGTACCCTGTCCCTTATATGTCATTTTGCTTATTCAGGTGCCTTATTTGTCTTTTGAAATTCAGGTGGTATTTTATTGTCATTTTCCCTTTGTTAAATTAGTTATTTGTAATTAATATGTGTTATTTTTAAAAATATTTTTACTAATCATGTGTTTACCTAGAACTACTATTTGGTAGAACTTTTAATATAAGCAATTACTACAAGAATTATTTTAGGAAAAATAAATAAATATAAGAGAGAAAGCATATTGAAATCTTATATTTAGGATCAAATTAAAAATCAAACTAACTCTTATATTAAGAACCGGAGATAGTATATTTTTTCGTACTGAGCACATTTGTTCTATTATTGGTGGCTGTTTGAAAAACCGTCAGCCACGAAATATAAACATCACTCTCAATTGTAATTCAAACATTGATTACCTTGTAGAATAATAAAAGCTGACTCATCAAAATAAAAAATAAAAAATAAAAAGCTGGCACAGGCTTGGAAATGTTAGGTGATAATGGGTTTTCGTGGCGTTTAAGACTTGCAACTGCCAGCCGGGCTCTCATGGGCTGGGCCTGCCAACGGTGAAATGACATGGGCTTAATCGCAACCATCTTCTGCATCCCACGGAATTTCGCGAGCTTTTGTTTTTTTGTTTTTAATTTTTTTAAAACTATTTGCACAATGTAATTTTAACACTCCTCCAGTCCTTAATATATAATTTAATAGTTGAGTTAATTTCAGTTCTAAATATAAGATATATTTATCATATTTATTAGTTTTTTTTAAAATTATCTTTATTGATACTCCCTCAAACCTAATCAAGTAAAGAAAGAGGAATGATATTTAAAAAAATGATTATGATGTTTTAGAAAATCATGTCATATTTTTTATAATTAACTAACTTATCTAAATTTTTTAATCTAATTAAATTAATTAAATGAGTCTTATATTAAATATTAGAGGAGTATTTGTTAAGCATGGTTATGGCTGGAAACGGGAGGGAGCGAATAAAGAGCAAAACTAGTGTGGTTAAAATAAATGGTTGAAGTGAGATAGAGTGACGAAGCACTGAGAACAGTAGGAGCATGTAGAAGCTGTACGCAGACAGCTCCACCTAGGCATGTTAGTGGGATTCATCGCGCCAACACCCTCAAGCGATCAACTCATCACAGTATGAAGCGCCATGTGAGATCCGTTGATAATTTCTTTTAACAAGCACAGTCACAGGTATTACATCCGGTACTAAATATAAAAACTAGTTGACTAATTTAAACAAATTAAAAAATTAGTTAAACTAATTATTTATAATAAATAAGTATTTTTTTAATTAAAAGTAATCATATTCGAAGCAATTTTGAATACTAAATGTAAATACTTGAGGGTCTGTTTGTTTGGCTCAACGAGAGGAAGGAGAGAGGAGGAATTTTAATAGAGAGAAGGGGAGGGAAGGAGAGTGAAAAGATTTTAATATGACTTTGTTTAGATTTATAAAAAGAGAGGGAAAAGGAGGAGTTTTAATATTACTTTATCTTGTTCATAAGGAGAGGGGAGAGAGAAATATTTTAACATGAACAATTTTGTCCTTATTTTATTTAAAATTATTTTTTTCCAAATTTTATAAAATGTTTAATAAAATAGAATTGTAAATAACATTTAATATATTGAGCAATACTTATACCAAAATTCTAATATATTCTAGAGTGTGAAGTATTATTGAAAATAAGGCTGAAGTAATATTCAGCCACAACTTATGTTGTATCCCATATTTGAATGAACTATTTGGTAATGTAAAGGAGATAGCAGCGTCTAAAGACAAGAGAAAAAAGATATAAAATAGTATAGGGGTATTAAAAATAAATATGGACATAATAGTCATAATATGACAAAAATTTGTGTTTTCCCTCCAAATCTTCCTAATTTTGGACGGAAGATTGAGGAGGAAATTTTTTTTTCTTCACTCCTAAAATTTGTGTTGCCAAACAAAGAAAAATGATTAAAATCTTTTCTCCTCCCTTTTTTTCCTTCTCTAAATCTCTCATACTAAACGCACTCTTGACAAAATTTCAAA